CCCGCTGCGATCATTGAACGTTAGAAAAACATATAATAGACGACCTGTATTTATTTTAAATTATATATCATGTATATTGAAATATATATATATTATATATCAGCATGGTACCTGTCGATACTGATTGAGTTCACGATCGATGATCACGAATAGCAAAAGCAATTTTATTGAATGTACAGAATGCTAGAAGCGAGTTTCGCGAACGTCCGTTGAAAATAAAAGAAACAATTTCGGGCTGTAAGACTATCGCTTTTGTTGAGAGAAATTATATATATATATATATATACATTAAAAAAGTAATTAATTTCAATTTAGGAATCCAACTGTTTTTTTTTTTTTCATGTACCGTTGTATAAAGAAAAATATACTTATCATCGTCAGTGGAGCGACTGTTATTATATATATGTAGGAAGGAAGACTACTTTTGAAGTGATAGCAAGAGACACTAAAAAAAAAAAAAGAGAGACAAACTTTTATACACACATGCGAGATATTCTCGCAAATGCCATTACATATTGCATATTATGTGTACACTTAATCAAAGCAACACTTTTTCTTTTGCATTTTGCAAAATAAACGTAACATATTTGTTAGCGACAATCGCGCGCTAACAAAGTAATAGGGTGAAAGACACTCGTTTGTTTTCACCAGTTGAATAACGAATTTATTCGAATATAAAATTATTGTTTTTGCTGAAATATTGTCAGAGAAAATTTTTTTTCACAACAAATATCACTTATATTCTTGCTTTTTATTCGAGTTAGCAAAACAAAAATTAAATGTAAAAATTGCGTTAAGTAAAGTTTGATCTATGTTTGTTGGCTTCTTGTGTCTTTTATCTTATTACCGACACGGAGCGCGAATCTCTCACTCTCATGTCAAAGTGACCGGATCAAAATATTGTACTCACGAATGCGAGCACATGTCATAGTTTGTAAGTGTTATACATATATATATATATATATATATATATATGTGTGTGTGTGTGTATATATATATATATATACACAATTTATTTATAGAAAATATAAAAGATTTAGTATCCATTGTATGAAAAAATAGAGATAATTGATTTAATTAGATCATAATTGGATCAACAATTTTGAGCACATATTAGGTATTTATTTCTCTCAAAAATTTTTAGAAGTTTATTTCTATTTTATGTCATAAACAAAAAAATATATCTTATTTAAAAAGTTCTTTTGACGCTACTCATGTTTGACATATGTACACACACATACACACACACACCATATATATATATATATATAGACTACAAGTTTTACAAAAGCGAATAATACTTTGGATACTTGATCAATTAGCTTGTCATTGTACATAGTAT